TTAGTACTAGCAATTTTGACTAGCTGAGAAGATTCAGAAAGGATGAGTTGAGATTGTTTAATGTATTTGTTGTTGAGAGTGAACCAGCAGCCAAGGAACTTGAATGGCTGATAAGCAGGCCAAAGTGGAAGTATTTCACTGTTAAAGGAAATTGGGCAATAAGTATTTGGTTTAGCATTAGATGATAGGATTGATTTAGTTGGATTGACTTTGATGTTGGCTATATTATAGAAGGATTCTGCTATAAGTAGAATATTGGCTAGTTCCTCTTGGCTAGATACAATCCAAAGAGTATCATCTATATAAGCCAAAACAGAGCAATTGGTTTCAAGATTGCTGGTAGTAGAATTTTTAAGATTAGTGGACCAAGAAATTGAAATTGAGTATCCAGGAAAGGTTGAGTGTATGTGAGTAATGAGTGGGTCATAGTAAATTCGCCACAAGAGAGGTGTAATAGTCTCTCCTTGATCAATACTATTCTGAACCTGGTATGAATCTGTCAAACCAAAATTGGTTATGACTTTGTTTTGGTGATTATTAAGAAGGTCTGTAAGAATATTAATGATAGGTTAAGGAAGAGAAAGGTGATAAAGAGCATGCTGGAAAAGGTCAAAATTAACTGAGTTATAGGCTTTACTCATGTTCTGAGATAGTAATCATAACTCTTTGTAGTTGCAGTTAGCATCTTCAATAAGATTGTTTAAGATATAAATGAGGATGGATGTGCTGTTGCCTGGTAATGCTACATAGTTAAAGAGTGAAAGAATGAGGTACATAGAAAAAACTTTATTTAGGCGGTTAGTAAGAACTTTAGTATATATTTTCCTAACATGTTCGATTAGGCTAATAGGGCGAGTAAGGTTTAAGTTCCCATCAAATGCATTGTTCTTTGGTATGGGATAGATTCTGCCATGTTTCCATGACTGAGGTATAGTATTAAGAGATAAGCAGCGGTTGAAAAGTGCGGTAAGGATGGTAATACATTGATGGCTAAGATGTTTAATCATTTCATAGCTGATACCTGTAGGTCCACAGGCCTTGCCATTAGGAAGTCTAGAAATGATTTGCAGAACTTCATCTTCTGTTATGGGAGTGGTGAGTGATGTATACCAGTTTGGGTTGATATGAGGGCGAGGGTTGTAGTGCTGTTGCCGCTTTTAAACGTTTATAAATGTACAGTATACATATATTATTATGTGTTGTAATATTATTATTAGCACGACAATTAGTGAAACAAATTAACCGTGTGTATTACAGATATTCATTCCGGACCATCACGTGATCATCCAGAGCACAACCTGGCACACATTTTCAGGTTGCTATTACTATGTATGCAAACTGCAATAAATTTAAGCGCAGTAAATATTGATATGTTAATTTAAACCCAGAGGAATCGTAAAGCGAACCCCCCTAGCATGACCACCAAAATCAGTTACGTAATCGCTGTTTAAATTATAATCCAGCACAAATTATATTATATCGATATATAACAATAAAAACTTTTATTAAGATTTTATAACGATTTAAAATTTTTATTAAAAAATTTTATTATAATTAAATTGCGTAAATTTTAAAATTTTAATTATCAGTTATAAAAGATTTTATTGCGTAAAAAAAAATGCCAATGTTTGTTCAAATATATATACAATAACATGAAATATTTAAGAATTTTAAATTTATTACCAATAGAAACTATTCTTGTTTCGTTTATTTCAGGTTTTTTTTGCTTGGTTCAAAATTTTTTATGTTGTCTACCATATTTTGAATCGTTTTGAAGCTTGATTCAATATTTTCAACTATTCTCTTTGCTGTAGAAGGTAATAAGGCTTTCAAGCGTCTATATTAGAGTAATATTGATAATACTTTTATTATGTTATACATGTATAATTAATTCGATAAAAAATAGTAAATAAGCTATACCTCATGAAGAGTTTTTTATGCTGATCAAAATTTTCAATTCTGTTTTATTTGATTCGTTATTTTTTGCAACAATATCGTTGTCAAAAACAGTTGAATTAATTGTTATCGCTAAAGAAAGTTGTGCATGGCCAGATGGCATGCGAATATTCTTCCATATTGTTTTTTCAGCTTCTTATAATTTGAATTTCTCTGAACCTTAATTGAAAATTATTAATAAATATACGTTTTCGAAATAAAATATAAATAAATCTATCAAACCTTCCTAAAGAATGCTACTGATGCTAATTTATTTTGTAAATCAACTCTAACAAGAATAACACCTCTACAATCATAACAGTCCAATCGTGACTCTGTGTTGCGTTGCTTAGAACTATCTAAAACTTTTGTTTTTTTTCTAGCTCTTGACGGCAATTGCTCCAATAAGTGAATGTCATACTTTTGTTTGTTTATTATAATACTTCTTATGATAAACTTAAGAGCATCGGTCACCTTTCTCACAGAGCTTTACAATTTTAGTTGCTAATAAGTTTGATTTGTCGATGCGATCTGAAATATCTATTCGTATAAGTTTATTACAGTATTATAAACTACATCCTCAAGATCTTCAGGTCTATAGATTCTCTTGCACTTCACGAATATCCATATTCTGCTCTGTTTTTTTTTATTTATACGGTTAAGCATTCGATACATGTTTTTTTAATTATTTTCAAAATTAATTTGTTTATTTTTCGACAAAATGAACATTTTTTTGAATTCAATTGGACAGAATAATCGGCTTTCACTAGTTAAATTTTTACGAAATATGGTAAGAAAAGAAATTTTTAAACAATCATTGTAACAAATACAATATTATAAACAGATATCGTCATAAATGACTAATATACAATTGCATTAATTTTCGGAAGATGGTTTTAAACAGCGATTACGTAACTGATTTTGGTGGTCATGCTAGGTTCGTGGCCTGGCACATTCAAGAAATGTAAATAATCTTAATCATATTTGGTTTGAAATAAGAAAATTTATAAATCCATTCTCAAAATAGAAATGGGATTTTTTAAACTCCCACTTATTTTCGGAATAAGTTAATTTTGAATCACCCTAATATGATGTACAGCAATTAAAGGTGTAAGCGCATCCGCATATTCAACATGTAAAGAGAATACTTCATCTTTTTACTCATCACTGATGCAAAATGAGAGTTTCAACTTGGCTTTGTTTTAAGTAAAAATAAATTAGTAAATAGAATGGCTTATGATAATTTATATATCGTAACACGATCAAATAAATACCTTTAAATCTATTTGCATAAAGCTTTCAAAGCACATTTTCTTATATCCAATAAGTCAAATATTGAATGAATTTCATCATATTTAATTATCTCCTACGATTGAGGATTTTAACCAATTTATTTTTCTATTTATATAATATTCCTCCAGAAATCCGAAAATATGACCTGTTTCGCTATTTGATAATTCCAATTGATTTGTGTTGCCAATAGTTCCACCAATTCCCATATGTCATTAGAGACTATCTTATTCACGTTCGCAGTTATATTGGTGTCTCTCATGTATGTTTGTTCACTTAATATTGATTATTTTTGCACGCCAAACCTAAACACCCAGGTTTTTTGACTCTATAGTACGAGACTTCATTAGATTTAGCGACAGAATTGCTGCAATAGTGACAATTAAAAGTTTAGACAGGATTTTCATACTGATTAATCGGATTGCTTAAAGCGTGCAGATGTTAGAGATTTACTAGTACGTATAGATTTAGAATTGAATGTTTTTATTTGCGACAATATAGATTTAAGTAGTAAATAATTGCTTAATATTTAATATATCACAAAGATAGCAACATATTTCTAGTAAAGGTAGAGATAATTAAAATAAATTCATTCAAATACAATAGTTATTAATAGTATATAATTTTGCAATTTCCTGAAAATTTTCCAATACAGGGATATTACCAACCGTTTCACCCAATTATCCGATTTCAAATTATTCGGTTGGCACAGTTGGACGATTTTCATCCGTTTCGGAACTTTAACTCCATATCATAAAAAGGAGTTCAGGTTTCAAAAATTATATATATATTACCATCAAATATTGTGTGCCATTATTGATAAGATGATTAATACATATGGTAGTTAATTTCTCTTGGTGAGACTGAAAATATTTATCGAACTTGAGGCGTATAAATAATTCCACAAACAAATCATTGTATTACAAATAATGTGGGAAGATAATCATAAAGCTATACACTCTGTTATGTCAGACTCGACTATAATAATGAAGTTAATATGTAATTTATTTGCTACACTTGTAGACTTAACCGAAAAAACTATACATTTACACAATTAATATATATGTACATACTGTATCATCCAAAGTAAGAAATTTGTATAGCTATATAAGCAAACGTTGAAAGTATATGAGTGGCCAACCTCTTGAAAGAAATTGCGCACTAAGAAGAATATATTATGACACAGGTTAATGAAAAGTTGGGGAAATCATGTAAATTATCCAATAAATAAATTATTTAATTGTATATATATATTAAAATAATAAATTCCACTGTATATATGTCTTTAGTAAAAGAATGTTCTGAACAGTTAGAGAATTGTTTAAAAGAATATAGTATAAAAAGTTTCGAATATTAATTATTTAATGATATAAATTCCATAGGACAGGGTGGATTCTCAATTGTCTATTCAGCAAATTTCCAAGGAAAAGCCTATGCACTAAAAAATTTAAATCGTAATTTGTATTTAGATGATGAGACGACTAAAATACTTATTAAAGAGGTAATGCGTTTATTTAGTATCTAATAATAATCTCTTTTAAAAGACTAATAAATAAGTTAATAATGTAGATTAAAATCTTCAATAAAATTAGTGAAGACAATCACCCTAATATTGTGGGATTTCACGAGGTATGTTAATTATTCAAAATTTAAAAATTTATCTTTTAAATTACTAACGTAACTTCAATTCAATAAATCAGATCCACAAGGAAATTTTGTTGGTGTTGCAACTTGTTAATAACGGTACCTTACGGGAATATTTATTTAAAAAACAGCACGATGGTTTTTATAAAATTTCATGGGCAGAACTTATCAGAATAGCAAAGGATATTACTTCTGGATTGAAAATTTTGCATGATAATGACATCATCCACAGAGATCTAGTGAGTTATAATTCACAAATATTCTATTTTTACACAAAATTCCGAATTAAAAATTGTCTATAATAAATCTTTATAGCATTCTAAAAACATTTTAATAAATGACGGTAAAGCCCTAATAGCAGATTTTGGAATATCAAAACAATTGGATGACACGGCCAGCTCAAGCCTAAATCTGAAAGGGCTAGTAGCATACATTGATCCAAAATATATTCTTCTTGACAAGCCTACCCGTGATAAAAGATCGGATATTTATAGCTTGGGTGTATTATTTTGGGAACTTACAAGTGGAATTCAGCCATTCGATAATATTCCTACAGCGGCTATATATTATAAAATCATAATGAAAGGGAAAATGTAATTGTCAAAACTCCTCCAGGTTACTCCGACCTTTATAAGAAATGCTGGTCTTCTAGCCCAGACCAGCGTCCAACACTCCATGAAGTACTAGACCATCTTAAGAAGTTCTCAGAGAACACATCTGTTAAATTTATCGAAAATTACTTTCGCAAGTATGCATAACTTTTTACATTTGACTTCATAATTACCCTTTTTCTAATCGGCTGTGTACAAATAAATTACCAGAGAGTGAGTACAGAATCCCACAAATATATATTTATAAGGTTTGTGTTACTTATCATTATATGCCTTTCCCTTTATCTGTTTGTAAATTATCACTAGGTGAGTATAAAGGATGTTCTGTTATCTTAACCTAATATTTCACAAACTTTATAAGTAAATGGCTAAATTTTTGTTCATATATATATCAATACTAGTCTTCGTAAAGCCTCTGAAAAAATTCCCCGTCATTTCGAGAATGATTTTAAGGTTGAGGATATCCTCATTCCGGAAGTAGGTATTCATTCCTTACAGGTAGAAACAGACGAAGCATTCCCTTGTGTCCTGGAGCTCGTGAGTAGGCTTAATATTGACAGAGGATGTAAGAAAATTAATGATAGCTCTATAGTTGAAGCACCCATTCCCGCATTCTCCATAAAAGAATTACATATGAAGGATATTATTGTTGAAAATGAATTTGAAAAGATTTTTAAGAAAACAACAAAAAATATTGAAGAACTATGGATAGAAAGTTTCGAAAACGTTTATATAAAGGAAAATGATAAAGTAGTCGAAAATTGTAAGGAAAATGTAGTACTAAATAATTACACTATTATATATTGCCATAAAGGTACAATTCTATTATCTCTTAAAGATTTGGAGGCAACGGAAGAATGCGTTAATTCTATAAAAAATGCATTAGATAATGGTCTTAGTGATACTCAAAAAATTGAAAAGTTGAAAAAAGTTGGTAACGAATATGGATTTTTTGGGTAAGTATCTTTAAAAGAATAAAAGATAAATTTAATTTATATATCTTTATTACATATATGAATCTTATTAATAGGTTTAAAGTAATTAAACTTGGAGGAAAACTAGTAAAAGATGAAAGAATATGTTGTAAGATCGTTGGCGGCGATAATACAATGTCTAAAGATGCGTCTAAGTGGATAAAATCCTTAGAGTCTTACAAGACATGGGCAATTATTGAATATGAAGATAAATTTTCACTTTATGAATTACTATCAAAAGATTTACAACTAGAGATAAGGCGTCTTAATGGGATTAAAATACTGTACTCAAGTGTTGAAGATGTCACCATAAAAGACAATAATTTCAAGTTACCAATTACTATGCCTATCCCTATACCATCAAATATTTTAATATTAAAGGACTGCAAAATCTTTGCTTCAATTCTTAACAAGGAAAAGAAGGATCATGTGTTCGTAATTCGCATTGATTACTTAAGTGATGAATTACCATATTTTGTAATTCACCACATTGGTGCGATCCCTAAAAATCATTCACAAATAGATCTATCGATATCGTGGATGGTGTATGGATATGAAAAAAGTCTTCCAATTCAATTAACATTTATGGAACCTCTTTATTATATTTGGACTAAAGAATTTCAATATAGTAATGTTCAAGCAATTGAACACCCAGTCTTAAATTTTGATAATTATTGCTGGATAGGAACCGTTACAGTAGAATGTAACGATAATCCTGATTATGTATTTGCAAATTCTACTGATGTAATTAGTTATCATTTCTGTCAAAATGAAAAAAATGATAATACGCAAATATTCTGCTATCAATATAATCATCAAACTGATCAAATCAGTAATACTTTAAATTTAAAGTTAATTGTGCTATTATTAAAAACTCGTCTGATTTTGATGTAATCAACCCGATCAAGCATAACTGGAAATACAGACCTTACCGATTTCAATCTCTATCAAAAAGTAGTGGCATATTTACTGGAGAGAATTGGGAATTGTCTGATCTTTCAAAAAAACCTATATTTGTAAATATCCATTATTTGAATACATCATATCATCATCCTTTATTTTTAAATATTCATATGAATTATCCTGTCATCAAATCATTAAATAACGGATCTGAGAATCTTAATGCTTTTGTTGGTTATGTAGTGATCAGAGACAAACAATCGCCGAATGCATAATGTGTATTAATCTAGAGAGCCATTGTAGCGATGTCTCTCATTTCCGTATTTGTCCAATTCATTAAGTTGTCACTTACCATTACCTTCCATAATTGTACTATTGTAGTCATTGATATTACCCTTTATAACATTATGCGATTACACAATTTGCAAGCATTGCGCATATATGAATTTACAGTGTAAATGCTAAGATTTCTATAAGACATTCTGTAAAATTAAAGTGTATATAAGGGTGTGCTCTTGTCCTTAGTTGAAGATAGCAGACGCTCTCCAAATTCCTCTCTAAAATAAAGAAAATAAAAATTTATAATAAATGCTAACAATCATAAATATCTGTATTCTATAAATTAAATTATTGTCTAGTTCATATGATTTCTTACGCCAACGATCGGAATCAAACTTGGCATGAAAGGTACCAAGCTCTCACATACGATCGTTATACTATGATCAGGAAAAATAATAAAAAGTTCAAAGTAACTAAACTATTCCTGATGATTACAAAGACGCATACCGTTGTTACATGGAAATTGCCTCCCAATTAGGGTTGGCATTACATAAATTACAGTTTTCATTACATGAAATTACATTGTAACTTACGAAATTGTAATGTAACTTTATATTAAATAGTGCATTGTCACATGATAATTGCACCAGCGTTAAATAAGTTTTGCCGGCATTAATAGTATCCGTCATTATGTTCGGAACTGTAATTTTATACTTTCTTTAATGCCAGATTTATAAAAGTTTTGGCCAAAATTATTCGCATGATCAAAATTACATGTAATTTTGATTTCTGAAATTTACACCGATTTACGTAAAATTACGTAAAATTACGGTAATTTGCCAACCCTACTCCCAATATCCCTATAATCTTTGTGCGTGTTACCATGGGATATCCAGGGATAAAGGGAACTTACCCCTGTTAATGCTGATGAATATGATATGCATATCAACGACTAAAAGAAGAACTTGTACCCTATTTCCCAGCTTGTTACTACTATATACATCACTTCTAGTTACTATATCGGTCCCGATATTGATGATGTGAAGAGTAGGAACAACACATGCCGCGACATCAATGGTAGTCCCCAAAAGGGCCTAATAGTTACTGTGTTAACGATCCTAACACTGAATTGGCCTCATTGCCACCACTATTTGGATGAAAAGCTATATTTCGCCCGTGTCATCCATGCAGATGAACAAGAAATGAACAAACTTGGGCCACAGCAGCTGAAAGAGTGAAATTAGTACTCATAATTGCAACGGATCAAGGCCCATTGAAGACAAAGACTGAAGGAAGTATAATAATATTGGGTGAAGGAATTGGAGTTGAAAAGAACGATCTTTAATAGATAGATCGATAGATAGTATCTCAATTCAACTACTGTAATTAATTATATGGCTGCATTTGTTATTTAAGGGCCATGCGTTTTACCTTCAGAATGGTTTCTACAGACTTTGATCCTCTTTAATAATTATATCCCATATAATTCCCTTAATAGCCACTTCGAATTCTCCACTGTAATTCTTTAACTGTCTTCATACAAACTACACTTCGTGTCTTCATACACTATTCTATAAAACTTGTTAATTCGGATTCATGTGAGACTCATGTTCCTTGGTAGTTATTAAGTAGTCACGTGTGACTCATGACCTTTTATTGTTACAACCCTATGTATCTTCATATACGTTCGTGTTGATTGCCTCTTTTGTCAAAGCCTTATTAAACCTCTTGTCTAAGTAGTTGTATTAACGCTTCTTTAACCCACCAAATCACAATTTAGTGGTCTGAGATAGACTAACTCCACAGTTACCGGAAGTTGCTTAAGAGGTCAACTTCAGGTGTAACACCGTATAAGCGCGAAATAACGCGCAGGGGCATTATTTTGAATAATGGCCCGAATTAGGCTTAATTTAGGCCAAAATTTGAAATTACACCCCTGCGCGTTATTTCGCGCTTATACGGTAAGAGTAGAAAGAGCTTCTTAATCCGATCAAAATTGAGACGATCAGATCGATTTAGAGAATAAAGATTCATTCGTTGCCATATAGAAAAATGTACTGTAATTGCGTGTGTTGCTTATAGCACAGACCAAAAACTAGATTCGTAATTAAGCAGTTTGAATCGGTACAGATTTTTTGGTATGTGTTGGACCGTATACCATGCCAACTAATGATGCCTGACGAAACTCGCGTACCTGAGAAACCAAATAGTTTTCGTTATTTCTTAAATGACGAAACATGAATTTCGTCAATTCGTCAACGACAAAATAGTTTCGGCAGGCATCCATAATGCCAACTGAAACATTAACGATTAGGGCTTGCAACACTTTACCAGGCCAATTGGCACGGCGTTATTACCAAGTTGGAGAGTGATAGGCTATAAGGCCAATTTAGCTTTGAAGTAACCGAAAAAAAAAGTTTGGTAAGAACAATAGCACGGGTGATGTAACGTATACGGTTATGCAATGTACGGTTTAAGGATGGATATTAAGGCAATTCGGGATACGTAATTGTTGGATGGATATGGATCAATTATGATGAGCGATAACAATGGTGGGACAGTTTGGGTGTTTTATATTAGCGATGTACAATGCGATTGATGTATATGTGAGGTGAACTTTAATGTTACACGATAAGATATAGATATGTATGAGAGCTTATAATAAATAAATAAATAAGTAAGAATTTTAGTTGGCTAGTTTATAAATTTATTCTAACATAAGATATCCAAGACCCCCTCCCCCCTCAGGATATTACGTAATATTTGTCACTACCCTAAATAAATAAATACATAATAAGAGATATAAACAAGACAGAAGAAAACAAATGAGAATAAATAACAAATAAAAAAATACAGTCAACTAACAATCAATCAAACAACTGTAAAGTGAGAATTCGAATAATAACAAGTTGAAGTCTGAAACCTACTCTATGATGTCTATATATATTTAAAAATACACATTTAGAACTTAATTCTGTCTCATTTTAACATTACTCAACTCATAATTAAAGATCTGTCACAAGCTTATAGAAAAATTACTACGAAAAAAGAAAATTGCTTATCTATGGTTACGCTACAAAATCAGCAAGATAGAGCGACAGGATGAAGCAATAACATGCTAGATAATAAGGATGAGACGCGAAATGATCACTAACAACGGATAAATGTATGTAAATTCACATACCACCACGACAACGATTGAAAGCATGTGAACTAATATTAAACATAAATTTACATCAGCAATCGTCAGACATATGTATTGAAACTACTTTATTATACTGTTTACCATGATTCAGTGTTTTACATTATTCTCCTCTACCTTCTAGGAGAGGGGGTGGGGCGGGTTTGGAAAATCTATATAGAAATTCCCGGTTGTTGCCAGCTTAATTATTTTTAGGGGAATTTACAAATAAGGGCCTGGAAAATGAAAATAATTACATAAAAGGGCCTAATTTTTAAAAAAATATTACACATAAGGGCCCAAAATAACCGTGACGCTATTCACGATCATTGTTATAAGAAACGTAAGCATCGCATAAAAAATATAACGATCAATTGTAAATTAAATTTTTTTAAATTTAATAAATTTAATTTTCCTTGTATGAAATTGCTTATTGTTATAACAAACCACTATGATGTCAAGTAAAAATTGTGAATTGGCATGACATTTACTAATATAAATGTTCGTTCAGCTTTAGAGAGCTACTCTGTTGAAACTTCGTTTTATGAATAATTGTACTTAATTTATCCTTTTATATAATACTCAGTATATAGGTAACTCTAAGTGTCTATAATAAAACAATCGATAATCCTATAATCGCGATTTTGCTATCGATATAAGCCTTGATCCGTTTTTTTTTCCAGCCATCAATATATATGTAATATTTTTTAAATTATGTGTAATTATTTTAATTTGGGCCCGTATTTGTAATTATTTTCACTTCAGGACCCTTATTTGTAAATTCCCCTTATTTTTACTATAAAATTTTTTGAAAATATCTGCGAATATTATATTTCAATATATAATTATAATTTTTTTTACTATGAAGGAGAGGGGTAATGTAAAACACGGAATCGACGGTAATTGCAAATTTATGCGTGCGGCAAATCTTAAATTATGCGAATTAAACGGGCCCAGAATTAGGGCTAAAAATTTATGAAATGCCCTAGCGTTCTAAAAATTTCGCTGACCAATCAGATTTCGAGATCAAGTGCAACACGAAAAAAATCATGATTTAGCATTTTATCTATTAAGTCACCTTTTGAGCGAAACTTTTGGTTTATCTGGCCTTATACAGTTATGATTAAAATATCTATGTTATACGTATACGGATAATATTATAATTTAATTTTAAAGCATTCCAGATACTGATAGTTTGGCCTGCTCTATTAATGCTACATAAAATTTCGAAAATTACAATACTACCCAGAATTAGGCTGGCATTATCAGTCGCGTATTTTGTCACATCTAATATTTTCATAAATTACATAAACCGACAAATTTACATTTTTAAATTTTTCGCCCAAACTCTTAGTTAAAATATGCAGTGTTGGAATTTGTTCCCGAAGTTTAACAAATCCAATGGTATGAAGAATATAAAAACAAACTTCTTATTATGAAGTTTCACACCTATAAACATGTGCAATTATTTTTACCTACTTTCACATGATTCCTTTCAGGTTCATAAACTCTTGACATAGTGTAAAAGTGGTTGGCTAAATGCACTGAAGCAAGAGCTTTGTCAAAATGCACCTGTGAAGAGCTGGTGCAGAATAATGAAAAAATCAAAAAACTGTTTTAAGTAAGTAGATTACTTATTAGTTGTTGCTTTTTTTTATTTCAATTATTGAAGTTTCTTTTTAAGCTGCTATTTGAGTATCATTAATACTTACTACATCAGGAAGTTGTTTTTATGTAGAGTTATGTAAATATTTTATGTAAAGTTATGTAAATGTTTTATGTATATTCTATTTAAAAATTATATATAGGTCTATAAACCCAATGTAGACTTACATAGTTATAATTTATACATAAATATAATTATAAATAATTTTTATTTAATAGTTATCTAAATTTTTGCAAATATAATATGTTTAGTAAGCAATTAAATAAATTGTTAGGATAAAAATGAAGGTTATAATTAGAGTTGGAGTTAAAATTATGAAAGGACTATTTTTATTAGTAACACAACAGGGTTACTATAGTAAAAATTTTGAGATATTGACTAATTCTTTTTTAAAAATTAATATATAAATATATTTAAATTTTATAATATATAAAGGTTATATAAATATATATATATTAATATATAAAATTTATATAAAATTCTTATATAAATTTTACGATATATAAAATTTATCAATGTATTATAACATATAAAAGTTACTTAAATATACTACGTGAATTTTATAAATATATAATCTTTTTTTATAAAATTACATTTATACTTATATAATTTTATATAGTATTTTATGTAATATCTACATAAAGTTGTAGACCTATGTAGATTTTATAAAAAATGCACTTGCTGATAATACAAAGTTCATCAGTACTTATTATTATTTGTTATGCGATACTCTTATTTATAGGATATAAAACAGTATCTTTAATGTATTGCTGTTGCTGTTATCTGTTATGATAAATTGAGATAATTCTTATATGAATTATACTAAGAATTCGTGATGTGAAATGCAGGTTTTACACATTAAATAAATTTTTACAGCTTATTTAACATTATTTATGGGAGAATAATGGCTATTTATTATTAAACTATTTGAGAATTTAACTTTGATTGAAATTTTTATTTATTGAAAAAAAAGATTTATATATTTTGGATATGGCACGACTTCCTCTGACACTAAGCACATAAACTATAACTTATTTCAACCTTTTTGTTGATAGTACAGCAGTTTAGTCCAATTCAGCAAATTTTAAAGAACTGTCTCCATTTAATATTAATAGTAATTTAAAAAACTAAGATTTGGTCTTAATCTACTTAAGTTCTAAAAAAAACATATTTGTCGAGATTTCTAAGTTTCGGTAACTTGCAAACCTTTCAATAGTCAGGCAAAATTAGTAAGCTTATACTTCAAAAAAACGTGTTCGAAATAAATCACTATTTTTGAAGACATGATTCATTTTAACTTTATAACTTCACTCTAAACTTGAAAATAAGGAAGTATTGTATATGTGTTGCCGAACAATCATATCTTGTCTCGTGAATATGATTTCCTTTTAAGAAACCCCTGAAATAGGCATTGAAGAGGTACGTACTACTGTGATTTTACATAGTGATGTCGGTCACTCAAATTTCATAGTAAAAAATTTACCCCGATTTGCGTTATAGTGTAATTAGCCAACCGAACCGACTTGCGATAACATATTCTGTGTAACTGAATTTTGTCAACATAAATGAAGCCCGTTAGAATATCTTTATTCATGAGAAAAGCTAAATTACGTGCTTATGCAAATCGAATATTTTAGGCTAATTATGCGGATATTATGCCGGATCAGGATCCTGGACACTCTAGTCCATGCAAATAGGCTTTTAAAAAAGTACGGGTTATCACATAAGACTCATATGATAATATTTAAATTTGCTCGTGTATATTTGTTTGTTTAAATACACTCATTTAATTATAAAAATAAACTACCGGTACAAAGTTTTTAAATGTTTTTCAAATGAAAATAACTAATTATACCAGCGGGGTGCAAGTTTTTAAATCAGGTTAGGGTTAAAAGTGTATTTATATACTATATTGGCTCTCTTAATAAAATTTTGGATATTAACGATTTTTTAATTTTTTCTTACATATCTACCGGGTACAAATAGAAATCTTTTTTTCAAATATATTGAAATTTGAGCACTTTATGGATTCTATAAAATGTACGATCGATAATATAAAGGGTGTGGTGTACTTATTCTAAAATGCACACAATTCTAGAATATACACTTAGAGGTGCGACAATATTCAGCTCAAAATATTATAGTAAAAAGTTTTTGATACCCTTTCGTTAACTACTCTAACATTAAATCCTAACTAACAAAACGTAACCAACTTCAAAATCAGCCGTTGAATCTCAAACTATTGAAACTAATTGGATCTTGCCTAACAAGCTTCCAATACAGTAATATTTTATTGTCATCATCAATTAATACTTATTTATAAAAAAGGCACCTATTCATAACATTCACATAATTTATATATGAATTGATCACATGGTGTCTTTGCCTTGAAAAGCACATTATGGAACATATGATTTACTATGTATGTGATTTTTAAGGCAACGACTCATATCTCAAAACAAAGAAATTATTTAACATTTTACAAATTAAATATAAGTCTTTTCCCTAGGAAAATTGTAAACAATGTTTTTGCTATTGTAACAATTGTTAATAGCTACTAAAATGCAATATAACAATTGTTAATAGCTACTAAAATGCAATATAAGAAACTTGACAATCAGGGTTACCAGCATTGTCTAGCGATTTGATAGTTGGATATTTCTGATTAATATTTAGAAAAAAATGTGTACATGTGTCACCTGAAGAATGTAAATAAACAAGGCTTGCAAAAACAAGATCGTTATATGGCAGCTCCCATTCATTTCCAATAAAAAGGCTTCCTGAAGCAAAAGGCATCCATTTTGGCCTTTTCCAAACTTGAATAGATGGAGCGTTAATAATACTAGGACGTAATCCACCAGAATTGTTTTTACTTAGCACAGTACAGTTGATTTCAAAATCTAACGTTTCTTTAATATTATGTATGTTGTTTTGGTTACAACATGTTTTTATTGATACTTCATCATTTGATTGGCAAAAATGATAGCTAATAATAGTTCCAGATTGTCCAAATAAATAACTAGGATTTTGGTCACAACGTAAAACACATGTGCCTATCAAACAATAATCATATGGAATTGGTCTATGCAATTTAATTTCTGCATTTTTATGATCCTTGGTCCAAATATATTCTAGACCAGTGTTATTTGGAATAGGTTGAATCGGAAAGTTCTTTTCGTGTCCAATAACTATCCAAGAAATTAAGAGATCTATTTGTGGGTGGTTACTAGGAACCTTACCAATGCGGTGAATTACAAAATATGGACTTTTGTCATTTTGATAATCTATGCGAATGCTGAATACATTTTTAAATGGGTCCTTATTTTCCTTGTTAAAGGTTGAAGCAAATATTTTGTAGTTCTGCGACATTAAAATATCATGCGGCATAGTAATAGGCACAGTAATCGGTAACTTGAAATTATAGTCCTTTCTTATGTTAACATTTGAAAATTTGTGTGCAGTACTCTCATACCAATAAGCTGTCGTATTTTTAATTGCAAATCTTCTGATAATAATTCATAAAGTGAAAATTTATCTCCATATTCAATAATCGCCCATGTCTTATAAAACTCTAAGGATTTTATCCACTTAGATGTATCTTCAATCATATCATTTACGTTACCGCCAATAATCCTAAAATTAGTATGTTTATCGTCTAGCGATTTACCACCAAGTTTAATTTCTTGCACCCTATTATTAAGTTCATAATTTATAATAAGGAAATAATTTAAATTAGATATTTTACTTTCATTTATTATAAAACGCACGTATGTAGTTTTACACCTATTATATGTTTTTATATATCTTTCTAAGTTTTTATAAGTTATTTATATATGAAAATTTTTAAACCAATTTTTCATATTGGGCGAATACGTAATGGGTTATAATTAAGGTTTATTAAGGGTATTTGGGAACGTAGAACATTTTTACTTAGAGCATCGCATAATGATTAATTATCCAGTTTTAAAATGTCGAAAATACTTGCCCAAAAAATCCAAACTCATTACCAATTTCTTTTAACTTAGCTACTTTTTGGATATCAGTGTAATCCTCATTCAATGCATCTTTAATAGCATCAATATATTCATTTGTTGCCTCCAATTCTTTATAAGATAATAATATTGAGCCTTTTTGACAATACTTAATAATATATTCATTTGGTTTTTCTTCTAAGTTTTCATTTGTTTTTTTTTTATAGGCTCATTTTCAAAAGTTTCTATCCATAATTCGTCGAGGTTTTTCCCTGTTTTTTTGTAAACAGATTCAAGTTTATTTTGGATAATAATCTCCTTCATATGTAGATCTTTTATATAGAACGCTGGCATATTTGCTATAATTATCATGTTATTATCAAGTTTTCTAAGTCCTCGATCTATTTTAAGCAGGTGCACTAGCTCAGGAACACAAGGGATTGATTCATCTTTTTCTATATGCAAAGAATAAACTTCAGGTTCTTGAACTAAAATATCTTCAACTCTACAAGTATCCTCATAACTATGATGAATTCTTCGAAACCCTTTAAGAAAAAAGGTATTCTGCCAACCGACAAAGACTTCTTTAATCTGAGACAATAATTTTCGTGTATCTTCCAATGTGCTATTTCTATCTAAATTGCTTAAAATATGAGATGCAGATACAACGTCTTTAACATAAATGACAACTTTTATCTGTTGATCATCTTTAGGTTTAAGTTGGGGAGTAAAAAGATCAATACTCATTATTATGAATGAATTGATGAAGATAGAAAAGATAAAAAATTCTTTTACTATCCAAAATTTTAAATACTAATATTTGACATACATGCACTTTTATAAAAGATTATGAAATTACATGCAGATAAATTCGTTCCAATACGCCCAGACCCCTATTAGTTATAATACTATACAGGCAGGTTCGTTGTACAGCATATTGTTGTACACAAATATTTACTGTACAAGTCGTTCAGAGCTTATCATATATGTATGATAACGGGAACGGAAAACCATTTACAGTAATACATAATTAATTATAAAAAATCAGAAATCACATGATATTGCATTTTATTGAAAACTTTGATATATCGACAGCAGAGCACAAAATTTCGGCATGTTCTAACCTGCTTTTTTCGGTAAACGAAATTTAGAAGCTTTTGTACAGCAAATTCATACGCTTTATAAAATCTCCGGCCGATTTAAAACTATGCTGGATCACGAAACGAATTGTCAAACGAAATCGAACACACATTTCAGAAACCACATTTTCTTTTTATTTAAGTAAATCATTCGGAGAATAGAGGATTAATCGAGAAGTTAGCGATGGTGTACACTTTTTGTCTTATAGGTTAAGGTATTTCAATAATCGGCAAGGGAAATTATGTCTTGACTAATATGTGTTATGTTTTTTTTAAACTTGTTAATTTAAAAATGGCGATTCAAACAATAATACTTACTTGTTTCTGAATATAGGATTATTCGTTAAGTTTTTGAAAGCTACAAATATATAAAAATGTGCATTCATAGGATATGTACTGTACAATTACGTGTTATGCTTAGTTTTTTATACTGTCTATACCTTTCATGAATGTATATTACACTTATTAATAGTTGATGGTTTTTTTTTTTTATTTATCCTATTATTAAATTACGTACTAGTTTGCAAGCAATTTGGTTAATAAACATTATTTATATACGTATCTAAATTGTTAAACTTAAGATGTTATTTTTATTAAGTTTAGCCAGATATACGTTTGGCAATTACTATCGGGATCAATGTGATAACTTCTAAGATTTTTTTTTACTTCTAACCGGTGAAAGTATCTGAAAATTTTTTTTTTTGTTCTGGAACATAAAATTTTAAATTTATGATCCTAAAAAATTTTTAATTTCTTAGTTATAAAAAACTTTACCAAAATTAATACAAATTAATAAAATTAAGTAATAACATTAAATAATAAACATTTATAATATTTATTTCTTAACTAATTCATTAAATTATAAATTTTATGTTCCCAGTTTGTTAAAAGGGAACAGGATTTTTAGATTTGGTGTATAATCTTTTTTTGGGTTTGCGCTTTGCAAAATTGGGTGATCCCAATGATTTTTAATCTTTTATAAATCGGTTGTGATTACGGTGATTTTGCTTATAAAGCTGGTCAATTTATCATAAATCTGAGTTTGTGTCTGCTAATGATTGTCGGCAATCGATTGTTACGTAGCAATCACACAACTAAAAACTAATAATCATAGGGTCTCCCAATTTTAAAAGCGCAATAAATAACTATCGTTATAATTAAAGCACACTCAAGATTATATTATGTACAGCGTCTACAAGTTTCTTCTCCAGAGCACTTTACGTGTGTTTTTGTATCTTAGTTACATAAAGCCCTTGTTTTCGATATTGTAGCTCTCCTACACTTTGTTTGTTTTTTTTTACAATTGTTACAAGCCTTAGTCACATGAAAGCCTTGATGTCGATAATGTTGCCGCCTTAGTCGTTGTCGCTGTTGACGTGGAAGAGAAATGATTATTAAATTGCGTAATACTTAATAAATATTATTATAGATCAACAAAGAAAGTTATTGGATAGATTATTAAATTATATAAAAGTTTTTTTTAAAAAAAAAACCTTTATTAAATAAAATAGGGTTATTTTAATCCTATGACTATTGTTTTTGTTTTTAAGTGATTGTGATTCTATGATTGTGCGATCGTGCTTATAAAGCTAACACAATTTATCATAAATCTGAGATTTGTGTTTACTAGGAATTTCCGGAAATCTCACAATCACAATAAAAAAAAAATAGTCATAGGGTTATGAAATTTTGAAATTTTCAAAATGCATTAGTTATATAATCTTTTAGTTGGCACTTTGTGGTAAAATCCAAACTTATTTTGGCAGTTGGAATTTGGCGCATGACGTTGGGTTACATCGTACTGATTGCAAGATGACATCGTACTACATTATCTGTTATACAAATGACGTGTGATTCAATCAGTAATTGATGTAGAATACAATATACGTATTAGGAAATGTCCAAAATAACTTTTACCAGTTTTGATGTTCAATCAAATTTTAAGAACACATGTAACGTAAAAGGAAGCAAAAAAAAGAAAATAAAAATAAAAAATTCGCCTTAGAGTTTTTATTTATGAAACCGCCTTCTGCGTAGTGTTCTAAATCAGCCGGCTCGCAGCAGCTTATTTGTCACACCATTATATTTAAGTCATTTGAAACATTCTTCTGCGTACTGTCAAGGTTTTCCTTGTGAAATGTTCTTTATACTCAGACTAAACTAATACGAATGAAATGATTTGTACGTACGTACGTACGTACAGTACAAATACATGTATAGTCCCATAGGAAAATCGAATATACGTATAACAATTTTTTGTGTAACAATTGCGAAAACCTATAGTAAAATACCAAATTTTATACCAAATTTATTAAAAAGTTTTAAATTAATAAGTACAGTAGGAATCATAAGTATCCCCACCCGGCTAATTTCCCGAAAACCCGATGTAACTCTATGAAATTTTCCGAATATGTAGTACGATATAAAAACTGATCATACTTACTTTTTTTAGGTTCGTTGATAATCTACATCATAAATTAGATGATCACCGAATTTTTGGCAGTTAAAACAATGTCTCTGCCCATACACAAGCGATATGAAATAGTATTTCTACATACCCACCGTAAGGGCCCGAAGCTTGGACTTGCTGCAACGGCAAAAGAGGTCGGCTGTGATAAAAAAACGGCGCAATATTGGGTTAGTAGGTGGTCTGTGACCAAGGACTTGAACAATCAGCAAAAGTCTGGCCGCAAGAGAATCACTACTAAAAAGCAAGATCAGAGAATAATTGAACTTGCAAAAAAAAATGACAATATGACCGCTATGGAAATATGCGAAGATATGAAGAAGCACAATGTTGGAATCAGTGTGGCCACAGTTCGCCGTCGTCTCCGTGAACAAGGTGCCAAATATGCTACTCAACTTTCGAAGCCCCTGCTAACCGACAAGCACATAAAAAAAAGGCTGGCGTGGGCTAAAAGTCATAG